GTTCTTCCACTTCCATACTCCTGGATATTCTTGCTTGTTACAGCTTCAGATTAACATTATAATCAATTTGTCTTGCTTTAGGAATGCTATATGATTTTCTTGGTTGTAATCTTTAGGGAATTAGAACAGGGGGTTAGATTAGTGTTTTGTTCCATGGCAATGGTATGGGGGGCATAAAACACCCAGTTTAGAGAAGTTGTTATTTGCCATTGAGTTGGAGCTGACTCATATCTGATCCTCCTGTGGTCTTTTCAGAGACAGTAAATCCATCATTCTCCATCAGAGAAGCTAGTGAGTACGAACCACCTGTCTTTGGGTTGACAGTGCAGCTACCTACCATAAACACAATGAAAAGCCAAGGGACTTTAAATCTTGTACACTGGCTCTCATATTTACAACACAGTCTTTAAAAACAATGATGTTTGATCACATTTTCTCAGATCTGTAATTATTTTGAGGACACAGGAACTGGTATAAATTTTCTTCCTCAAAATCATACCAGAGAGTTGAGTTATTTTTAACAGTCCAGACGCATCAAGGTATGTTAAAAAAATGTGTTTACATGCCAAATTTACCCACATGGGATGCAGGCAAGGTAGGATATTCAGGCTCAGAGTAATATGTAGAGTGGCCTAAACTCCTAGTTTTCTCACTTCAGCTCATGAATATTCTTCTTTTTACCTAAATCCTGTCTTAGTACTAAGTCTTGACTTCTTTCTCTGACACTCAAAAATGAAACTAGGGGTAAGAATTATAGTACTTTCATGTTTATCCTTTTCCAAATATTTATGTACTCATACATAAATATGCATGTATACCACATTTTTACTTGAAAGTTGTTTTGTGTACCGTGGAGTCAGAATCAACCTGTAGCTGACCCTCCAGAGGGTTTTTTGAGGTGGTTAATCTCATGAGAGGATATTGTAAATATAAACTAGCTAATATTTATCAACAGGAATGACATTCAATAACACTGAATGATCAAAGCCAAAGCCAATGAAAACAAATATCTTGAGTTTTCCTTATTATACTTGGGTTAACCAAATGGTCTCAAAGAGAGTAGACATTTGAGCAAGAGAATTACCAACAGATAGAGAAGCATTTCAGTATTTTAACCACCGATTCTTGTATATGTGCCCTTGAATAGATAGCATCCCTCTTTCAGTCACTTGATGGCTGTTGACTTTCCCCTCGCTGCATACAAATGTCCCTACATTCTAGCAAATATCTCAGAGGACTACTCTCAGAATTATTTGTGTTGTACCCCTTCTGTGCCAGCTCTTTATATTTTTAGACTGAGTGCTTCAGAAATATCACTGATCTTTACCAGTAGGCTTTAAGTAGATCTTGACTCATGGTGTTCTCTGTCAAAATGGAACTGTGCCCTGTAGGCTTTTTAATAGCTTATAATGTACCTGCTTGTGAAAATATCCCATATTAAACTATGAAGATATAACGTCACCATGTGAGTTCATCTTTTTAGAGAGTTTCTTCCCCATTCCTCCACCTTTCCCAGTATGTCTCTTTTCAAAGGACTGCCCAATCTTGTAATACACAAAGTATTGTGTTTTATTATGCGCTGTCAAGTCGCTTACATTTCATAGCGACCCTATGTACAATAGCCCTAAATCCTGTTCTATCCTGTGTCAACCCTATTATCTCTGACACACCTACCCCCACCACTCCAGTGACTGAATCAATCCAACTCATTGAGAATTTTCCACTCTTCCACTGTCCATCCACCCTCCTATGCATGAGGCTTCTCCCCAAGGACCAGTCTCTTCTTGTTAAATTCCCAAAGTATATCAGACAAAGATTCAGAATCCTTGCCTTTAAGCAGCAGCTTGATTTCTAGGATGATCCTATTTAATCTCCTAGCAGTCCATGTTTTATTCAGTATTCTTCTACAGCAGCACACACACAACAAACCTCAGCAAACTATAGATGATGAAGTTTCATCCTTTTTGTCTCTAAGAAGCATGCTGTTTGCACTTTCTCCAAAACAGATTTGTTTCTTCTTTAAGCTGTTGTTAGGTGCCACTGATTTGGTTTGATTCATAGTGACTCTATGAACAACCAATCTGAACAGTACCCTATTCCACCTTTATCCTCACAATCCCTGACACACTCAAGCCCATTGGTATTCAGTATTCTTCACAAACACCACAACCCAAAGACATTGGATCTCCTTTGGTCATCTTTATTCATTGTCTAACTTTCCGATGCATAGGAAACTACTGAAAACACCATGACTTGGATTGTTGTTCTTCATAAGTGCTGCTGAGCCGAGTACAACTGATAAGGACCCTGTGTACAAAAGATCTGAACCCTGTTCTATCCTGTGTCACCCTCACACTTCCTAACACACAAGGGTCCTTTGCAACAGTCACCGCCCCAGTACATCTGATTCAGAGTCTTCCTTCCCTTCACTGACTCTCCACCCTTTCTAGCATCATGTCCTTCTCCAAGGAATAGCGCATCCAAACAACATACCCAAAAAATGTGAGGTGAAGTCTCATCATTCTTACCTCCAAAGAGCCCTCCATTTGCACCCTCTCCAAGACATATTTGTTTGTAATTTGACCATTCATGAAATTGTCAGTGTTTTGGAATGGCTTGAATTATAAACACCGTAATCTTTAAACTGGAATATAGGAGAATTGACTTATATCAGTATTTATTGCCAGGCCTTATGTGATATGCTCTCTGTAAATTCTATGTATACATTCTTACTCAGGACTATACCCATTATTGGCTATAACTTACATAAAAGGAAGAAAAGAATTGCAAAAATAAAATTTTCTGCTCAGTCTCATAAATCCTGAGACCACAATTCAAAGCTATGATTGTCCCTCCATTGTTGTTTTAATTTACTATCAAGTTGGAAACTACCCATAACTGACCTACTAATGGGTTTTCAGAGACAGTAAATCGCACGAGAGTAAATTGTCCATCCTTCTCCTATGGAGCAGCTGGTGGATTCAAACTGCATGCATTTGGGATTACAGTGCAGTTTCT